ACACTCTTATAATTTAAACTTAAATCTAATCTTAAATCTATGCAAACATTATTCAGTAAAAATTATTTATGCAAACAATTTCATAGCAATTGTTTTGTTACAGTTTTCTGTTAAATACTTTTATTAGAGAGAAAGAGAGAGAGAGAGAGAGAGAGAGAGAGAGAGAGAGAGATAGAGAGCATTAATATATACAGGTAGATTCTGGTCTCTATTGACGTAAAATGTAATATATTCTAGAGATGTAATTTCTATTTATTTATTTTCATTTATTAATTTTTGGTAAATAAATTTTTTAATTTAGTTACAATTCTTATAATTTTTATAAAAATTTTAAAAACAATTTAATTCAAATGGCATTCAATTCATCACTAATTCATTTCACTTAAGTGATAAAACCCTTGAGAAGTGTCGGGAATATCACAAATTACCATGGCAACATTACAATTATGTAATTAGTCTCAAGTATGACATTGTAAATGTTAGGATACACTTAAAATGTACTAACATTTACACAAACTTCATTATTTTTTTCAATACCAATCAAATAAATGTGTTTATTATTGGATTTAATAAAGTACTAACAAAGTAACAAATTATTTAACTATATTTATAAATGTGTTTTAATTATATTTATACGAGTTAGTCTGATTTTAAAAATAAATATTGTGTGAATTATATTGAATTATAAATTTTGTGCTTGTTTTGCATAAAAATATATTTTTCTCACTTTATTTCTACACATTTTACGATAAAAATAAAATATAACACATGTTAATTGTGATTTAAGTGAAATAAAATGCCACAAAAACGTCGGATATGTCTGGTTTGCGGCGATAAGGCTTTCGGTATGAAAATTTCATAATGAAATATAATAAATATAGTAATTATTACAAGACCATGTTTTGTAGTACTATTTGTTTTAAGATTTAGTATTTAAACCATTAAAATAATAAATTATTATAAAAGTTACTAAATATTGTTTAGGCAAGAATTTTGGTGCCGTTACGTGCGAGTCGTGTAAAGCATTCTTTAGGAGAAACGCTGGCAAATCTGATGTAAGACAAGACAATATATTAATTATCATATCATAATTACCATGATCATATTTACCTTGTATTAAAACAGCGCATAGTATGTCATTTCAACGACAATTGTACAGTAGATTTGCCGACGCGAAGGTGTTGTCCCAATTGTCGGCTTAGAAAGTGTTTAGCAGTTGGTATGAAAGAGGTTTGTAATTGTTTTATTTCAATTGTAATATAAATAGATCTAAAATATTAATAAGTTATTTAACAAATGTATACCAGAATTGGATTCTTACAGAAAGTCAACGATTGGAGAGAAGGCTTAGAATTGAGTTAAGAAAACAGTTGGCAGAAGAGAACGAGAAATTCAGTGACAATTATATCGACGCCACGGATGACACAACTCAACAGATATCGGATTCAGACAACACATCCACTAATGATAATGATGTGAACAACTATACCAGTAATTGGGTATCAGAATTACAGCCAATCATCAATGATAACGGATTTTATGATAAACAGAATGAGCCATATATTCCAATAGAAACACAAGAATATACAGAATATTACGAAAACACCGTAAGACAGGAACCAGAGCTACGGGTGGCTATCGACCGGCCCATCACTGACTATAACAACAACTTCAATGAGACTGAGTTCAGTCATCTCAACGAAATGATGTTTGCAGTCAATCACATGCAACCAAAGAGTGCGCCGGCGGTCGCGTGGGAACCGATTGAACACAAAGACATTAGTTACTATGTGGTCGCCAAACAAGAGTCGGACATACCATTGATGGTGAAAATGTGCCGCAGTTTGCGCTCGTTTAATCTGCTGTGCGAGAGTGACCAGTTGTCACTTATTAAGTACGGTGTTTTGGAAGTGCTCACTTTACGCAATGCACGGTTTTATGACACCACAACCGATAGTTGGATTTTGGTCATGGTAATTAATTATTTTGCATTATAAATAATGCTAACCTATGCTAACCTGTGAACTAATTATAGGATTCAAATAAATCAGTGAGACTTAAATTGGATTTAATGAAACGACACAATAGACTGGATAAATATAATCATAACAGAAGGATATTGTCTAATATATATAGCAATTCCGATGGCGATCACAATGTCATTGATTTGGTATTTATTATTAATATATTATTATTATTAATTATTTTATTCACTAACACTTTTGCCTTTATTTTAGTTATCATTAATATTATTTTTCAATCCCAACCGTCAGGACCTCAAATTCAGACATATGGTTAAGTAAGTGATTGTTAAATAACTAATTAATTAAAAATATTCTCATATAACAATTTTTATATTAAACTAGATATCAAAGGCATGTTTACATGTATTTACTTAAGAGATATTTACAACTTAAATATCGGTCGGAATCGGAGGCAAACACAAGACTATTAAGTCTAATGAACAATTTTGAGGACATTCAAGCGTTGGTTAAAATAGGCATTAAAACCGTTATTCAACACTCGATGGAAACCACACAACCCATGCAATTATTGCTTGAATTATGTAATTCACAGCATTAGTGCAATGATTTTTACCATATCTAAATATTTAAAATACTTTTTGAGCTAAACTCGATATATAAATGTAGATTCATTGTATAAATAGATTCAATAAATTTATTCTTAAATTACTTTAAGACAATTATCTCATTCACCATACTTTACACCAAATTTTAATGTGAAAATATTTTATTTTTATTTATTCCTTAATATTTGTTAATAATTTTTACAAATTAATATTATAAACGATATATTATTTGTATAAATTTTCAAATAGAAATCATTTTTAAAAATTTTAATAAAATAAATAAATGTAATTTCAAATTATAGTGAATTCAATACTAAATCATATCGTTTAATAAATAAAACACTGAAGGNAATTATAGTGAATTCAATACTAAATCATATCGTTTAATAAATAAAACACTGAAGGATTGCTATGAGTACAATAGACATGTACTGTATATTATTACAAAGTTAACAATAACCTTGATAATATTATAGCAAAATCGTAAATTATTAAGATGACATTTAAAGATTGTGATGCATTAAAATGCACTAACATTTCCAAACATTTTATAAACATTTAGTTTCAAAAATGTATTCATTTGGTGTTAATTAAATAAAATGTTTAATAGAGTGATCGACTTAATTATATAACTAGTTTATTTAATCTCACTTATAAATATTAGCATGTTTTAATTATACTACATTATTAGTTTTGTTTTTAATGGATATGTTTATAATTATTTTGTATTAATTTTGATATTCAGTTTGCATGTGCAACAAAAGATTCATCATACTTTATTTCAATCATTTTAAACTATAAATCAAATCAAATATAAATTTCAATTATAACTTAAATTATAATAAAATGCCGCAAAAATATAAGATATGTCTGATTTGCGGCGATAAAGCTGTCGGTAAGAGATATAATAATTATACAAAAATTATAGATTAATAAAATTACTAAATATTCTTTAGGCAAGAATTTTGGTGCCGTTTCGTGTAATTCATGTAAGGGATTCTTTAGGCGAAATGCGGCCAAATCTGATGTAAGATAAGACGATATAATGGAAATATTTATAATTATCATAATGTTTTATTTCACTTACAACTACAGGGTATAAAATGTGATTTTAATAATAATTGTACAATTGATTTAATGACACGAAAATATTGCCGCAACTGTCGGCTCAGGAAGTGTTTGGCGGTCGGTATGAAAGAGGTTTGTCATTGTTTTTTGCCAATTATATAAAACCATTCATTAATTGTTTAACAAATGTATACCAGAATTGGATTCTCACAGAAAGTCAATTATTGGAGAGAAAGCGAAAACTGGAATTAAGAAAACAGTTGTGGAAACAAAATAAACATTTTATTTATAACAATATCGACACTACGGATGACACAACTCAAGAGATATTGCATTTAGACATGAAATCCATTACAGATACTGATGTCAACGCCTATCCCAATAATTCCGTACAAGAATTAGAGTCAATCATCAATTATAATGATGTTTGCGGTGAACAGAATCTGACAGATATTGCAATACAAACACAAGAATATAGAGAATATTATGATAACACAATAAGACAGGAACCACAGCTCCCGGTGCCCATCGACCGGCCCATCACTGACTACAACAACAACTTCAATGAGACTGAGTTCAGTCATCTCAACGAAATGATGTTTGCAGTGAATCACATGCAACCAAACGGCGCGCCGGCCGTCACGTGGGAACCGATCGGTATGAAAGAGATACTCAAGTGTTTTGTTACCAAATACGAGTCGGACATACCGTTGCTCGTGAAGATGTGCCGCAGTTTGCGCTCGTTTAATGGCCTGTGCGAGAGTGACCAGTTGTCACTTATTAAGTACGGAGCTATGGAACTGCTTATATTGCGCAATGTCAAGCTATATGACAGAAACAGCGCTAGTTGGATTTTAGTCACGGTAATAACTTATTTAATCACATGATAATTACTATGCAAATAATAAATATACAAACAATTTTTTGATACAGGATTCATGCAATTCAGTGATAATTAGATCGGAAGCATTGATTGCATTGAATGCATACAATAAAACCGAAAAGACAAGAAATTATAACAATTTATACAATAATATATACAATAATTCGGATGGAGATCACAATGTGATTGATTTGGTACTTATTATTTGTTTATTAATAGTTGTATTATTAACAATATTTTTGTCTGTATTTTAGTTATTATTAATATTACTCTTCGATCCAAACCGTCCGGACATTAAACTGAAACACATTGTAAAGTAAGTTATTATTTGATCAAAACGTATTGTATAAAAAAAATTCACAATTAATTTTTACATAGATATCAAAGGCATGTTTACATGTATTTACTTAAGAGATATTTACAACTCAAATATCAATCGGAATCGGAGGCAAATACACGACTACTAAGTCTAATGAAGATCTTTAAACACATCCGAGAGTTGACCAAAACTATTGTTAAATCTATTATTGAAACCTCTATTCAAACCTCACAACCGATGCAATTATTACAGGAAATTTGTTTTTAATAATAATTGTGTAATAAATTTTACCATTGTTAAATATTTAATTTACTGGACTTTTAACAAAACACAGAGTATTAAAATGTAAATTTAATTTAGAAATATATGTTATAACTTTTCTATTATTAATAAATTATTAATTAGCAGTAATAGTAAACTAATACAAAGAAATTTTATATAGAAGTTAGAAATAATGTATAAATTTTGTATAAAGTTTTAAAATTCAGTTTTAAGATTCTGTTAAAATAATTCTAACGCTATCTATTGTTATATAATAGAAATATTTATATAATCAGTTGTTTTACCTTGATTGGTGCACTAACGTTGCACTAAAATTTGCATTATGAAGGTAAATGTAAGGATAAAACACAGAATAATGTATTTGTTTAGTCATTAATTTTAACAACTTGTTCTCTCTCTCTCTCTCTCTCTCTCTCTCTCGGATGTGTTTAAAGATCTTCATTAGACTTAGTAGTCGTGTATTTGCCTCCGATTCCGATTGATATTTGAGTTGTAAATATCTCTTAAGTAACTCTCTCTCTCTCTCTCTCTCTCTCTCTCTCATTAGTAATAACATTTGTGACAATTAATTAATACATTGTAGAATAGTAATTGCAGAAATACATGTGTATATGGAATATATTGACGCATTGTTTCAGACATTATCTAAATTCAATATACTGTATATTATTAACATTTAATGTAATACAAAAAATATACTGAAATATACACTAACTTTTATTATATCGAAAAAGGAAAGTGATAAAACGGAAATTACAATTTTGTTTAGTACAGTACTTACCCGTTATTATAACATAATATTTACTTTATTAATTGCAAAAATGTCCAAAATATTAATTTATTACACATGTGCGGTCTGCGGGGATAAAGCAATATGTAAGTATTCAAATGATTAATTCAGATTGTTAAATTAAATTTGAATTATACACATTATTATGCATAATCACCATAATGTTTTAATTATAAATAAACATTTTCTACCGTATTTGTAGGCAATAATTTCGGTGCAGTTACGTGTGAGTCATGTAAAGCCTTCTTTAGACGAAGTGCTCACAAAATTAATGTAAGAATTGAATCTATAAAACAATATTTTAATTATAATTATCATAATTAATAGGAATTTGTGTGTCTTTTTGACAACAATTGCAAAATCACTTCAATTACCAGAAGATTCTGTCGGACATGTCGTTTGCGACAGTGTTTTGCTGTCGGAATGAAAGAGGTTTTCATTCATATATTAATTATAAATCTGTATTAAAACTAATCATACATTTTATTATACGTTAGGATTGGATACTTACTGAAGAAGACAAGAATGAGAGGCGACTTAAAAAGGAGTTTAAACGACAGCAACAGATGAAACACATAGAAGAGAGTATTACTAAAGACACTGGAAGTACTGGAAGTGCTGACAAGTCTTCTTCAGATATTACCGTCACCTCCACCACTGGTAGTGACAGCACAAGTGATGGTCAAACATCACCTGATAGTAACAGTATTACAATCACTGAGAATAATATCACATCAGACATAGATGTGGTCAACTATAACCCGCCAATCGCTACTATCGACCGACCCATCGATGACTATAACCCAAAGACATTTAACGAGATTGAGTCCAATCACATCCGGGAACTGTTGTCCGCAACCAATCATTTACTGTTACATTACGTACCGATTATCACATCGGAGTTCATGTCTTACGATGAATACAAGGATGCGTTACTTTGGAAATGGGAGGGCGATATACCGATGCTAACGAATATGGCCAAAAACCTACACGGTTTTAATACTCTATGCGAGAGTGACCAGATTAGCTTAATGAAACACGGAGCACTCGAGATGATTATATTGCGATTTACCATCGGTTATGATACGAACAACAATGACTGGATCGCAGTCCAGGTATAATTATTGTCACAAAATAATATTTAAAATATAAATTTACATGGTTGTTAAATATTTGAATTAATTAAAATGGCCAGGGTTATAAAGCAAGATCTAGCATGGTGTGCTGGAATCAGGGTAATCTGGATTCTAAATATGATATATCTAAATATGATGGACACGTTAATATCTTAACCTCGATGTTAAACTATTGGGATGGAGACCCGTTTATTATTAATTTGGTAATTGATTTAACAATTAGTATACTTTTAATTTGTTATAAAATATTTGTTTTGTTTAGTTAACGGCTATAACGGTATTCAACTCAAACCGGCCGAACCTCATAAACAAACAGGCGATTAAGTGAGCGATCAATTCATTATTCACACAAATAATAATAATTAATCGTTATTTACATTATTAAAATGACATAGATTTCAACGCCACTGTTATATGCATTTATTGAAAAGATATTTGCTATTAAAATACGGGTCCGACTGTGAGGTCAGCACAAGATTATCGTGTTTTATAAATAGTTTCAAAAAGATTCAAGACTTGAGCCAACTTTTTCTCAATACATTCAGAGGTGTCAAGTGGTCTGTTGTATATTCTGTGCCACTTATGGCAGAAATATTTGAAATCAGTGATACAAACGAATCATTTATTTTATCATAAATTATGTTTTAATAGTATTTATCATATTTTTTTTATAATTAATTGTAAATTATGCACATTATATTATTGTAAGCAATAATAATTAATTAAAATTGTATTTTCTATTATTAATTAAAATTATAAATATCTATGCAAACCATTGGCCACATTAGAACCCTCATACATTTAACAGTTAATAAAAAGTATATTCAATATAATATACTGTTTGTAAGTAATTATTTACCAGAATTTAATATTATAAAGTTAAAATAGCTCAGTAAATGTTTGTTGATCTATAAATTGCATATCACTAAATATTCTAATTACCTCGCTAACTATAACATTTAACTAAATTGTAACAGAATTTTAAATGCACATTAATTTATTTTACAAAATACACATATTCTGTATGAGGTTCTGTATATTCCTAACGCTATCTATTGGAATAAATTGTATGAATATCTATATATAATAAAGTGTTTTACCTTCGGTGCACTAACTTTGTACTAAAACTCATTAAATTCAGTGAAGGTAAATGTAAGTGTACTGTACAATAGAGAATAATATACCGTATTCATTTATTAATAGTCATCAAGTAATAAAACCTGTTTATTGATTTTGTTGACTATATTGACAATATAATTAACTAATGGCGATACTACAAATATATTGAAATATACAGGTGAGTTTTGAGTTGAGTTTTATCATATTGTATTTGATAAACAATAGTTTAGTAATGTGGATTGTAATTTTATTTTACTACTTGAAAACAGTTTATCTACATCCAAATGTCAAATATTTTGTGTTACAAATGTGCAGTATGCGGAGATAAAGCTCAAGGTAAGAATATAATAAATTTAAATTGTATATTCATTTAAAATGATTAGTGTAAACTTTTAAACTTATAAAAATATATTTAATTTAATTAAAGGCAGGAATTTTGGGGTCATTACGTGTGAATCGTGTAAAGCCTTTTTTAGAAGAAATGCACACAAAATTAATGTAAGAATTTTTAATTTTCAATAAAAAATATTCAATTTTACAATTATTACAAGTATATTAATATTTATGTTAATTATTAGGAATTTATGTGTCTTTTTGACGACAATTGCAAAATCACTTCAATTACGAGAAGATTCTGTCGGACTTGTCGTCTGAGGAAGTGTTTTGATGTCGGGATGATTGAGGTTTGCATTCAAATCATGATTACATGTATAATATTGTTTCAAAACTAATCATACATTTTATTATACGTTAGGATTGGATACTCACTGAAGAGGACAAAACTGAAAGGAAACTTAAAAAGGAGTTTAAACTACAAAAACAAATGAAATACAACACCACTTCTGCTTTCACCACAAACACTGGAAGTGATACCAATTCCTTGTCAGACATGTCCATCACCTCCACCACCAGTAATGAGAGCACAGGTGATGATCAAACATCACATAATAACAACTATGAAGACAATATCACATCAGATGTGGTTAACTATAACGCCCCGATCGCAGCCATCAGCCGACCCATTGATGACTATAACGCAAAGACATTGAATGAGATTGAGTTCACTCACATCCGGGAACTGTTGTCTGCGACCAATCATTTACAGCGACATTACGTACCTATTGTCACATCAGAGCCCATGTCTTACGATGAATTCAGGGAAGCGTTGATTTATAAAAGCGAGAACGATATGTCAATGCTTGTGAACATGGTCAAACAATTGCACGGCTTTAGCTCGTTATACGAGAGTGACCAGATTAGCTTGTTGAAACACGGAGCTATCGAGATGAGTATATTAAGACTTATCATCGGTTACAATAAGTTTGATAACAGTTGGATTGCAGTCCAGGTACTAATTAATATGAGTTAATACTAAATATTTATATACAGTAGTAAATATCTAAATGTTTAAATCATTTTAAAAAAACCAGGGTAACAAATCGATCAAATTTAGGATGGAGTACTGGAAACAAGCGAGTAATAATGATAAGTTTGACGCTCATTACAATGTATTTGCATCTATGCTAAACCATTGGGATCGAGACCCCGTTATTATGGACTTGGTAATTAATTTGACAAACAATAAACTTTTAAATACTATCAAAAAATGTTATGTTTGTGCTTTAGTTGACGGCTATATCATGCATCTATGCTAAACCATTGGGATCGAGACCCCGTTATTATGGACTTGGTAATTAATTTGACAAACAATAAACTTTTAAATACTATCAAAAAATGTTATGTTTGTGCTTTAGTTGACGGCTATATCGGTATTCAACCCAAACCGGCCGAACCTCATAAACAGACAGGCGATTAAGTGAGCTATCAATTTATTATTAATACAAATAATAAAAATTAATTGTTATTTACATTATTAAAATGACATAGATTTCAACGCCACTGTTATATGCATTTATTGAGAAGATATTTATTATTAAAATACGGGTCCGACTGTGAGGTCAGCACAAGATTATTGTGTTTTATGAATAATTTCAAAACCATTCAAGACTTGAGCCAACGATATATGAATTCATTCAGACGTCTTCACTGCTCTGTTGTATATTCTGTGCCTCTTTTGACTGAATTATTGGAAACGAGTGATGAAAATAAATTACTTGATTTATCGTCACTTGAACTCGTGTTTTAAATATATTTATATATTTTGTATTATTCTGTATATATTTTTTAATAAAATATTTATTTTAAATTAATTAATACTGAAATTTAAAAATTCTACGAAATAAATATCGTTTTTCCTCTAGTTTTAAATATAATTAACATTAATGGAATCAATATGAAAAACCAGCAAAATGTCCTAAAATAAATATCGGGATATTAGTACAACAAATAAAATTCTTACCCATACCTACATTTGATAAAGTAATTATAAATAAGACCTTGGTAAATATTTATAAATGTATAACCACTACAAGCAAAAACAATAAGTTAAGTACATCATAGCCTATGGTTCATAGGCTCCGTTAACTGGTAACTATTATTTAAAGGTAACTATTATTTCATGGATGTGTAAATAATAACAAAACTATTTATAACAATATAAGGTATCATGAAAAGATATACAGATTCTCTGGTATAAATAACATATTATTTAAATAAACAATTAATATACAATTAAAATTTCAGTATATTTTGTTGGTTATATTTGATTGCTTTTTAAATCGAAAAAAATATTTACCGTAAAAACAATTATTATAAAAAAATTGCTTAAAAACTAGTTATGTATTTACATAATAGCATATATTAGGCGTCATTACAAAAGTAGGCATGTATAAAAATACATTATTTTACATAATAATGAGGTATATAATAAAACATAAATAAACTCTGGGTTCTACTAAACTCATCATAATGAAAAATGCATTGTAAAATAAAACTTCAAATGTTACACCTAGATTCTTTCAATATACGATAATTTTATTTTTATGCAGAATATGTCTTAAAATTTCAATTTAGGGATCATTTTGAAAATAGTTTTATTCAAACATTGAAATAATGAAATAAAAATGGACTTTTAATTCTTCATACAATTAAAATCAGAGAAGAAAACAGTCAAATTAATTATATTTAATGTTTTTATTGATTATTAAAGGAGAAAATATATTCATGACATGTCAACGTATGTCTCTCTCCGACTAAAAACATAAATGTATTTTACATTTTGCGTGTAATTTGCAATTCTTGATGGCATTGATTGCCTTATAGTTTCACTGTATATACTGAATATCTAAATATATTTATAACACAAATCAATAATAAAAGTATAGTTAGGGAAGCCTTGAAAAAGCTAAACGATTTCATAACCAACTGTTTCTCAAACCCTAATTATAGTGGGGTTTGAAGAAAGCTATTGAATAAAGTGTTTGATTGTTTACAATCAAATTCTGGGAACAGTTTTATATATAATCGTACAGTAAATACAGTATATAAAAGTTTTTGTCTGGTTCTCAAATAAAAAAAACTTGTTTTTAAAATATAAAATACCAACAAAAAACTGAAATCACTTTTTCAACCAAGAGGCGTTTTAATATAGATATAATTATACAGAACCTGCGCGTAGAGAATATAACATTGCAAAACATTGTGAATTTTGTTTGACTTTTTCACCATCATTTTTGTATATTATTTTGTATGTAGTTTACTAATAATTCAAATTGTTTTTGAGTGTATTGTGTTATTTAAATAAATATTCACTCAAATATTAATTATAAAAGTGTTGAACATATAAATATACATTCAATTTTTGATGCATACAAATTGAAAACTATTTATACATAATAATTAATGCGTGACTATTATTAATAGTTTATTAAAATCAATGTTTAATGTTATATGTATGCAGGTTAATTTGACGTGATCAATGAAAAGTACTTAAACTAGGTTGAAATACATAAGCTATATAATATTACATGTATAATTAATATACACCTAAAGCCAATACTCTTTGCACTTACAATTCAACTAACATTTGCCACAATTAGTGCATTAAATATCAAATCTGTATTTTTTAGCGATAATGTAATTACAATTAATGCGATTATTGAGTGAAATTTGTACCAGAATTGTGTGAAATTTTATATCTTGTGTACAAATATTAATAATTTGTCTAAATTTCAGTGCATTTATTCAATGAATTGATACACTATTACTACTATTAAAGTGATATTTTAATGATTGAATGAACAAAATGTCAGTCAAACCGAAAGTTTGTTTGGTTTGCGGCGATAAGTCAATTGGTAATGAAATTCACACACATTTCTATTATGAATACAAAAACATTTATTCATTAATATTTAAATTTTAACTAATTTACTAACTTTTTAAACTTAATATACAATTAATAAATTAAATCTAATTTAAAGGCAAGAACTTCGGCGCCGTGTCGTGTGAGTCATGTAAAGCCTTCTTCAGGAGGAATGCGGCAAAAGCTGAAGTAATTATTACTACAAATAAACATTTAATAGTAATTAAAATCACACATAAATTGCATAACATTTAGGAATATATGTGTTATTTCAACGATAACTGCAAAATAGATTTGATTACAAGAAGATTCTGTCGGACGTGTCGTCTGAAGAAGTGTTTCGCTATTGGGATGAGACAGGTATTCAGAAGATTGGATCTATTAAAGTGATCTATCAATTGCTAACAATTATCATATATATAATGTCTTAATGGTTAGGATTGGATCCTCAACGACAACGAAAGGGAAGTCCGGAGAATCAAAATCGAGACCAAACGACTGAAGAGGAAGCACAGCGTTGGCAACGATTTCATCGACTCTTCGTCGGCCAGCGACTCATCGCCCGAACCGTCAAACACTATCAATACATACGGCGACACCACTGCCATCACCGGCACAGACATCACACCCACTACTTCCACAAACACTTCTTCATACACCACTCCCATCCATACCTCCGCCACCAATACCTATGACAACACAATCTGTTTGGATGTCGACGCATACCTACCGGACACGAGTGATCCCACGGACGACAACTTACTTATAGACAACACAATCACCGACTTCTTGGACCTAACCCTCGAGCCGGTAGTCCATCGGCCGATCACTGACTACAACCACTCGTTCAATGAGAACGAGTTCGGCCGACTCAACGAACTGATCGCCGCCACCAGTCATTTGCAGCGACACTTCATACCCGTCGTGACCGACGAGTTGACCCATTTTCAGGACTGTATCGACTGTATGGTCAGCAAAATAGAGAAAGACATCCCGGCGTTGGTCCGCATGTGTAAGAGTTTGCGAGCGTTTCATACGGTGTGCGACGGCGACCAGATCTCACTGCTGAAGATGGGAGGCCTGGATGTGCTTCTCCTCCGGTCGATAGTCTCGTACGACTCGCTCACCAATAGTTGGATTGTATTTGAGGTCTTATTCATTAGTCATTTATTTACTATTCATTAATAGCAAAACATTATATTACAGAATGACAACAAATCCACGAGAGTTAGCGTTGATATGTGGAGGAATGCCACAACGGAGGGCGTGTTTGAACGGCACACCAAGTTTATAGCAAATATGTTCAGCCTATGGGACGGCGATCCTCTCGTACTTGATTTGGTATAACATTATTTTTGATTACATACATAATACAAATATTGTAATTAACAATATAAGAATAATATCATGCTAAAATATATTTGCCTAGTTGTCGGCAATATTAATGTTTAACCCGAATCGATCGAATCTCGCACATAAAGAGACAATAAAGTAAAACCTAATCCAATGCAATATTAACCATAAGTAAACTAATGACAATTTCATCCGTCCATAGACTTCAACGACAAGTTTACACACATTTATTGCAACGCTATTTACACGTGAAATACGGGTCGGAAGACGAGGCAAAGACACGGCTTATGCAATATATAAGTAATTTTGATGATATATTTGCGTTGAGCCGATCGCACGCCACTTCCTTTATGGTTAAACAAGACTTCTCTATCAATCCATTTCCTCTGCCACTACTCAAAGAGATTTGCGAAACAAAACCTTCCCATCAATTGACTGTTTTATAAGGAGGGAGGGAGAGAGAGAGAGAGAGAGAGAGAGAGAG